CCCGCGCCGGGCTGCCGGCTCCGGGAGCTGCGAGCGTCTGTCTTGGCCGGCGACAGTTCTGATTAAGTAGACTTTAAAGCAAAAATAAAAATCAGACCCCACACCAACTTCCTTCCTCGGAGAAGGTTCTCTCTCTCTCTCTCTCTCGCCTCCCTCTCTCCCTTCCTCTTCTCTCTCTCTCTCCCTCTTCTCTTTCTCTCTCCCCGCTCTCTCCTCCCTCCTCTTTCTCCTCCTCCCTCCTCCTCCCCCTCTCTCTTCTTCCTCCTTCATCTTTCCTAATGATCTTCACGGAGAGGAGCTCATAAATCACTCTGCATTTCTCTTTTAAAAAGATCCCTCTAAACACCTGCGGGTTTTATGTTCTTAGCACACATTTAAAAATCAAGTTCTCCAGAATGAAATTCAGGTCAGGAGGCAGGGTGAGCAAGTTATGGAAATCTTTGATAATTTGTTGGGCATATAAACATCAAAGAATATTCGTTAGCCTGAGCTAATCTCCTGAGCTGCTTTGAGTTTTCAGCAACTGAAAGGTGCGGTTGTCCAGAGAACCGGGTCGGGGACGGAGGTGGGTGTGGGCGCGTGCGCGTGCGGGAACGGATCACATGTCCAGGTAAAACAACCTTCTGTTCCAAAGGGAGGCAGCTTTTACCCAGGCTTCAATTTCTGAACATAGGCACAAAGATCAATTTTTGTTTGGTTTTCCCACTCCCATACTCTATACTTCTCTAAGAGACACAGTGCCTTAATTGTTGATGTGTGGTCATTAGGATGTGTGGTCTTGAAGTGTTTAATTTGTTAGAATTAAAAATTCCATACTTTGCCGTGAAGTCTTCCAAATACTCAAATTATAATATTACATATGACAGATATTTCTGCCATGTGCATTGTATTCCCTGCTGATTTAGGAAATATGGCTAATATTAATAAAAGCAAACTACTTCATCCCTTAATATTGCACTTGAAAATGCTATCTGGAGGGGAAAAAATCATTATCTTCATGGAAAGTCTATGAAGGTTTTACATCTGAAACAAAAATGAGCAAAGGAGCTCACAGCTCACTTTTCCGCTCACAGACCTCACATTTGTTTTCTTCCAGACTCGCTGCCACAGAGAGCCATGGTTTCCCATGTGAAAAATCTTCCCTGTCACCAAGAAATAGCTCAGCTCCAAACATTTCCATGTCTCTTACTTGGGGAGGCAGGAAGGAGAAAACAAAGCAAAACAAAACAAAACAGCTCTCTACCCTAAAGGTTGGCTTTATGTCTAGCCTCCAAATGCTTATACACCCAAAACCAACAAAATGCCTAAGAAGTAGCAGAAAACCAAAACCTTGATCTACTCCTTTTCTCAGGAGACAAACCACAACTGCTCCTCCCCACTGGCCTGGCTCAGTGTCCAGTTAACAGCCCCCTGGCTTTGCCTCAAGTACCTAAGATTACTTTCAAATACCCTTTCTAACAAGACCCCAGCAAGAGGCCACTAATTTCTACCGCACAAAAAGCCACTGGAGAGAGATCCGTTTGTCAGTATCAACTGGTCCAGCAATTTCCCATCCTCAGACACATCGGCCTATCGGAGCTGGCAGATGTTTAGACAAGATTTTATAAATTGTTCAATATCAGCCCATAATGAACCCCAACTGACCATTCCAAAGCAGCTAAAAGCATCCGGGACATCCCCCGCTGGGATCCAATAATGCGCTCATGCTGCAGCATTATTAATCATGGAATAAAACAGATGAACCTCTTGAAAAGTAAGTGTATGATTGATTAAAGGGCAATCTAAGAAGCTATTATTCTTGTTTTATAACCGTAAGTTATATTCACTCAATTTATCTTTGGAAAGGAAATAAATGATTGTTCATCTCTTCTCTGAAATCATATTATATGGATATCCATATAATTTTGCTGAAAATTAAAGTGACAGCTTTGCTGCTTTTATGATACTAATCAAAGGGAATACGCTACTTGCCTACAAATTCTAGACTTGTTCTATAATTAGATGGTGAGCAGCACAATAACCAGGTCATAGTCTAAGGTTGTTTAAACTTTTCTTTTCCCCCAGGGTAAGGGTAAGAGCCACCGAAAGGAAAATAAATCTCTCCTCCCAGATTTTCACCTTGTGTTCAATGTGCGATACAGGAAAAGGAGAGTCAAGGCCCTTAAATCTAAATAATCTATGCCAATGTGGATAATTCCGGCTTTAAAATAAACAATGACTTCCATCAGCAACATATGGTCAGTCAGAGGTGTGACTCCCTACTAACCTTGCTATCAGGATTCTCCAGCTTACCTTAAGGAGAAGGTTCAATAAGCTAGCGTAGAAATAAATATAAAATGGATCCTAACGCATAAGGATGTCAGGTCATTTTATTTGGCCAAGTTTAAAAAATTGACACTAACAAGTAATCTGCATATTCAGAGCAGAAAAATCTTAATTTTCTTGCAATACGTGTGCATATAAATAATCCAAAACTGGATGTTACTGCCCTACTGTGTATTTCTCTTCCATCTGCCTATCTCCTTTTTTTATGAACGGGAGAAGGGAGAGATTATTTTACACATTTTCATTAAAAAGCCTGAGGTCAGATCACCTGGGGGGAGGGGCTGCTATTACCTGGGGCTTCCTACCCAGATCACTCTCCTAGGAAAAATGAGCCCCAAACACCATATTGTCGTAGACTAGTCTGTTTTTATTTACAATTTAAGATATAAATTAGTAAAGAATTCTTGTTAAACAACCAACAAAGATTGTATAACCAGCAATGTTCAAATAAAAACCAGGCAGAATTTATTTACAAAAAGTTTAGATTCCATTGCAATACAACTTGCATAAATTACTAGAAGCTTTATATCATTATAAAAATAAATATCAAATTTGTTTCCACTTCTTAAGTACTCAAGTTCTTCAATCACATTTTATTTCTACTGTGTACATCTTTTACAAATAAATTTTACAGTAAATCCTATCACACCTATAGAATATATACCGTGGCAATGAAGTGATCAATTCAAGATATCCTGAGAAAAAAGATTGTTTTCAGAAGTCACACAAACATTGGGGAAGCTATACTATGCCAACAAATTCACGTTATGTCCAACAAAGGTCTGTTCGGTTAGAGTCTGTGGATCCTTCTCCTTTACAGCGGCACAAGATGCGGTCCGGGTTTAGAGATGTGATTTTTATATCTGTATATTTATGAACTTGGGGAGAGAGAATGGCCTGCTGACTTTTTTTTTTTTTCCAAAGCAATTGTGACACCTACCTGTGGACCAAGGAAAAAACCAAATCATCCCAAATCCTTCAGTTGCACACCAACATCATCACAGTATAAAAACGAGTCGATCTGAAGTGATTGTGCCTCTTTCCCGACATCATCCAGATCTGTGATTAGTGATTTTGCCTAGCTGTAAGGTAGGGATTTTTTTGAGATACTGCTGTGAGCCAGGTGAGCCGCAGGGTCCTATCTAGTCCATCTGGACCCGGGGGCAGGCCTGATAAACGGCTAGTGCTCCTCGCGTCTCTTAGGCTTACTCTGCAAACACCACCTCTAAAGGGTCCTGATGCCCCAGGCTTCAGCAGCACTAGCTCATCAAAGCCAGTGTCTATTACGCGTCTAGAGTAGTAAAAAATGGTTCCAAACGGCATACAAATACCCCAATTTTAATAATGTATTTTTCAAAGAGAAAACAGCAGCTGTGGTGCAATATGCACGTTCCCGTTAAAGGAGCGATCTGTCACAGCAGAACTTGGGTGGGAAAAGAGGGACTCTTAAGAAAACAGAATGGCTACTTTCCCACTTCAAGGAAAAGAAAAACACCGAAGGACATTGCAAGGCTCTGTCCTCAGACTCCACGACAAGAAGCAAGAAATATACAGTAAGCAAGTTTACAGTGCAGTTGGTGCTGGAGGCTCCCCCAGGGTGGGAGGCAACCCCAGGGTGCCCACTTACTTGCATTGCTGCGCAGGGCGCCTTCTATAGGTAGGGCTGAACGCCCCCACCAACCACGGTGCAGCCCTCACTGGCATCTGTCAGGGGAGGGGGCAGTTAGTCAGAACCTGACCCCAGAGCCATCTGTCTCCCAGACAGCTGCACACCCACCAGCCCGCACACCCATGCATGCTCGCTCCCTGAACGCACAACACAGTTTAGGGAAACTGTCTGAGCGGCCAGTGCTGGAGACAGATTTGGGGCATGTTTCCTGTTCTCATTTTCTTTTCTTGTCTGAGCTCCTTCTGCAGGTCTTATCAACTCATGCCTGAATCATGAGCCACGGGAGCAGACACACAGAGAGGGCAGGGGAGCGGCAGACTCTGGTCTTCTATTTGGAAGAACTAGCGCCTCTCAGAGTTACTACAACGTCGTGTTTCCCTCCAGCCCAAAGCAGAAGACTCAGCAGAGACTCTCCGAGCGGAGAACACACCAAAGCTTCTGCTCAGTCTACCGGGAGACAAGCTGTAATTTGCATTTTGTGACAATTTGTTTTTTGCGGAAACCAATCATGATAATAATACCAATCGTAACCATAATAGTAAGTTAAGTAACATGTACGTAATAAAGGGCTAAGCCTTATTGCAAGGCAAGGGTCGCCCTGCCCTCTCCTCCCCTTTTCAGGGCTACCGCCGCCCCCTTCACCTCCCCTAACTTCTGGTCAGAGTGGCGCCTTTCGCAACAAAGGCTCCCGTGCCAGGCCCAAGGGTCTCCCCGGGCCCTGACCCAGCCGTTCTCGGAACCGCTGACTAATCGGACCCGCCCGCTCTCCCTCCCCGGAGGCCCCGCGCGCCGCAGCCGCCTACCTTTCTTGGGCTCGTAGCCGCCGCCCGGGGGCCGGTAGTGGGGCTCCAGCGGGTGCGCGCCCGCCTTGCCCGCGTCGCTGGCCGCCTTGGGCGCGGAGTGCAGCGCCTCTCCGGGGGCCGCGGCCGCCGAGCTGTACCGCAGGAGGCCCTGGCCCTGCAGCGCCGCGTTCAAGTTCCCGTAGTTTGTGTAGTTGCCGTAGAAGGGCGACGTGTAGTAGAGGTGGCGGCCGAGCAGCGGCGAGGCGGGGTAGGGCGAGCCGCCCGGCG